CTGATGCGAACTTATCCAATTTCATGTTATATTCAAGATATAATCCCTATAGGTATATTATTTCAAATTGCAATTTAAGTTTCTAAATCGTTACAAAGTTTGCCTTCGAAGTTGAAGGGTGTAACCGTAAACAAACTCCGCTGAGGAAGCTCGAAAGTTCTCCGTGAAAATGCTACAGTTTCCAAGCAGAACGATACGGAGTACCTTGAACCAGAACGCACTGGGTGGCACGTGAGCGCTGATTTGAGTTGGCAGTGAAATCATTCAAGTAGGCCATTGACTGCAGGTCCCGAATCCTTGTGTGCCGAAAACAATGTTGAGGGCACAAAAAAGGGAAGATTCAAATTGTCGTCGCTGATCGGTGAAGATGCTAGTAGGGGAATCGAAGCGATATAGTCAACAGGTAAGAAATGCTTCGGCGGCGATTGGTCTTGGGAGGGTGGGCCTCGGCCAGCTAGTATACTTATCTAAAGACATCACAGGATCAGACAATAGTGATAGGAGTCGGCAGGTGGAATGGGGCCAATGTGGTGAATATGAACCTGCATGAAGCGAATAGAAGTCTGGGTGAAGTTTCCGAATGGTGCGTGGTTGTGTTTACATATGGTAATTGCACACAATAATGGTTTAATAAAATTTTAACCCTATTTTCGAGTTATAGGTTATGAAATTTGAAATTGGCGCTACTTAAAAGTAGGCGGAGAGAAGTAAATATTTACTTGGGGAGTTTGCGCATAAATACAGAGTTGAGGACTAAGGAATAGGGCAGCTCTCTTTTATGGCGAACAATTTGCACATTGCAATCATAGGCGGTTATCCATATACTTCTCTTATATATATGGTCCATAGTCAAAGTGTGTAGAAGTGGAAACCTTTTTTTCATAGTACCTATACCTACTGTATGGCTACTGTTTAAATTTCTTCACATCGTGTAATTATTAAATTATTTCTGTTTTGGCAAGCATTTTGGTTCCTGTGCGTCGTGTGATAGATATCCGCGATGTTCCATTACCTCACATATGGAAGAATTTCCTTTCATTAGAGGAAAACAAAAGAAACGAGTTATTGTCGCATCACCTTGAAGACACCTCATTTGACGGCGTACTGGTGATTGCTGGAGGCTTCAGTGATGAAAGAAAAGGTTTCTGTAACCGTCAGACGACACAGATTTCCTCCTTAGAAGCTTTTCACAACGAAGCGGATACTAGGATAACGCTACAGATACAGATGTATTTCTGTTACTTCTTCATCACTTCGAGAAAATACTGGCAAAATAAGTTTGGTTGCTGACCGGTACTTCCAAGAAAGATATGTATTTTTTGCTATCCATAATGATGTGCAGAGGAACTGGCCAAAAGCAGTAGTATCGAATATCCTGTCCTTTTACGCTATCACAGGAAGTGATGTCACATCATTTGCTGTTGTGAATTTCCACGTTTGGGTGCATTTATTTTTAATTATTTATTTAGGAGGGGGTTTCAGGCAAGGCTGGTCTACTAACCCAACCCACTGGACATTTAAAAATATCTATATCTGAACCCGGATGTGAACCAGAGTGTTTCAAAAGCGCTCTTTACTGTTCACGCCGGGTACTATACTCCTCAGCGAGATGATATATCTTTTGCAAAAATCTTCGTGACAAAACTATACAAGGATGGTATCATAACTAGGTACATGAAACTTCACTTGTTCAGAGTATCGACTTGGCTCGCATATTTTAGGTGGCGTCTTTTCTTCTCTTTAGGTAGCCGATACCATAGCTTCCACCGACGGTGCGCATCCCGCTTAGTTCGGTAGGGAGAAGTCGTTACCAGACGTCTGTTTGGAAGAATGCGCACGTCCCTTGCCCCATCTCGGTTAATCAAGTAGGACTTCCCAGAGTGGAGAAGCATTGGAGAGTTTCAGGAGCTGCGAAGCTTTAGATCTAACAATTCGGAACTCCATTCTCTTGGGATTCCATCTAATCTTCTTTAGCATATCATCCATTTCCATAATTACAGCACATCAGGTGTAAGTTTCAAGAGGTACTTCTTTGACCTAACACTAGTGATGTTAAATTACACGTTTTTTTTAAAGTGCGTAATATTACGTGTAAAATTACCAATTGTTTATGTTTTTTATGTAATTTATGTAACTTACCATTTTTTTAAAAAAACCGTAATTTTACAGTAAAATTACCAGTAATTTATGTTTTTTATGTAATTTACAAATATTTTTGTAAAATTACATGTCATTTAGGTATGTTTTTTATGTTTTTTTTTAATGTTCTGTAAACCTTTTTGGATTTTGGGAGTGTTTGAAAATAAAAACACTTGTTCAATTATATATTTTGGTGTATTAAATAAAATACCCAAGCAGTAGGTATTTCGCCATCACGCGTCGTTTGGAGGAAGAAGTTCCAGATCGTGAATTAGAGGCTGTATCATCTTCATTAAACCTAACTAAATTCAACGGTGAATCGTTTACGTTGGTAGTACCGTTGATGGTCTGTGGTAGTACCGATCAAAATGTCTCAAATAGGTATTACATTTATGTAACTTACAAAAATCACGGTTTTTTAAATAAAAAACGTAAGTTACGTAAGTTTCATAAAAGACATAAATTACATTAAAAAACCGACCTCTTGTAAGTTACGCGTAATATAACCGTTTTTTATGTAACTTACAAATCGTTATTTTACAATCCACATCACTACCTAAAACTCTGAAATGTCGCCCAGACTAGCATATCTATCCTTGATTTCCTGAGGAAAGAAATGAAAATGGCTACATCACCATTCTCACAACGTTAGATTAATTCCGAATGCTGCTCTAGATATCGTCCTTGGTGGTTGTAAATAGGATTGACCGTCAAAACTTTGTAAATGTCGCAAGGCTCAGTTGATTTGTACTGGGTACCTAATTCTCAAGAAAACAATTGACCTAACACCATGAAAATAAGATAAATTTGCCTTCACTTTTCTATATGCTTTCATACTTTAATAATAATAATAAGATATCCTGAGTAACGGTAATTAATACCTAGCAAAATAAGGATCTTCCGAAACACCGCAGTGTAGTTGAACTCCTTCATTTTTTTCATTTGAAAATTAACGTAAAATTCGAAAGATTGTAGTTATCAAAACTTTATAGGGAGAATTATGCAATATAAACGCATGTCAGGAATACTTATATGTGTCGGGATTACTAGAAACAATCGTTTTGCAAGTCCTTTTGGCAAGGAGAACTAGGAATTCCTTAATTCTTAATTTTACGCATCCTGCCACTAAAAAAACTATAACATTATTGTTAAAACAATAGTTAACTATTATTATCGTACGTCAGGAATAACATAATAATTAGTTTTTAGATCGAAAATATCGGTCGCATGTGTGAAAAGATCAACATTTTCGGAAATTGGCCGCCATCTTGAATTATGGACTTCCTGTTCAGATTTCGAGGTGCCAACATCGATATTCGTGTTCAGCAGGTACCAATTAGTAAAAAAAGCCTTGTTGGCCAAATGTTGTCTGAAATGCCCCTAGGACATAGAAACTTCGAAAAGTGAACCAGTCTAATACGCTTCTTTTTAAGAACAGTACAAATGGCTTTTCTTACATTTAGGAATCAAAATGCCATGTTTGTTCAACTGTTCGCAAGTATAGTTGCTAAAGCAACAGTAAATATGTGACCCTCTAGGCTTTTGGGGTGTAACTTTTTGGCCCGAAAAACGATAGTGGCCTTTCTTATATCCTGAAAAACATGTGTATCAATTTTTAAAGCAATCGGACGGCTGTACACAGGCACAGACAGACGGACGGACGGGCAGACGGGCGGGCGGACAGATAGACAGACGGACGGACAGGCAGACGGACAGGCAGACGGACAGGCAGACAGACGGACAGGTAGATAGCAATACAAAATTATAAATGATCTCGAGGATCGTTAATAATTACGAAGTAGCTCTGGGATGAGAAGGTACAACATTCGCCAATGAAGTGGATATCTTTTTTAATAGTGAACATGGGATAATTACATTGTAAAATGGATATGTTTTCCATTGTGTAAGATGCAACTTCTGTTAAAATCGTAAAAATCCGGCCACAAATACGAAAGATAGCGTTGCATAGGTGTAATCGTAATCATTTTTGACGTGTTACTTCAATTTCGGTTTATAAGAAGAATTTCATTTCAATGCTTTCATAAATAAGGAAGTTGGCACTGCGCATGCGCAAAACCAAATTTTGGAACCGGCGTTAATTTGCTTTTATTCCAAGTGGCTATGTACCAAATTTCATTTAAATACCTCTCAGACGGACAAAGTGGCCACAATAACGCATTTTTTTAAATTTTTGTGGAAATGTGCTAAAAACAAACCTTTGCTACTTTTAAATTTTCCTCAACTTCGTTTGTGAGACACTGGACTTTCCCCATTACAACGATAAAGATCCTATATATTATCCCTTCAAATTATGTGTAACACCCCCCCCCCCCCCACACACACACATCAATTCAAACAATTCATTCAAAAAATATGCCCCGACAAGAAAATAAACCTGGGTAAAAACCATTTATTCCTATGGTGTATACTGTTGGATACGAATTCGCCGGATTTTGTTGATTTACCTAAATTAATATACCTCAGGTAATTCTTTTCGGTCCACTTATACCGTTAGCGCATCTTTTGTGAATTACCTACTAATACCCATTAAATAACACTTTCCCAAGAAGTAACGCATATTTTGTTGATGAACGCAGTAAAATCTATTTCTATAAATAACATAAGTAGCAGCTGGTCAAGCACAGTGGACGTCCATTTAGATTAGCAGTTCGAAAAGAATGTTGCATCAAATTACTGATTGACCCCTTACTTTTAATGTTACATTTGACGTAAATCCAAAGGGTTAGCTGTATATATTTCTTACATAAATTTAAGATAAACTATCACTGTTTACATTAGCATATAAAACCCACGTCAATAGGAAAAAATAATTAACAATTCTAATGTAGGCTTTTTTGCAGGTTCCAAATTGAGCACGACAAACTTAAACGACTTCACGTCGCCCACAGAGGCCACAAGTATTAGTCAACGAAGCTCATGTTTGGGTTCAGCCTCTTCAATTAACTCGACGATATTAGGATTAAACTGTTTAAATACCGGACGCACGAACTTTACCAATAAACAACTAACGGAATTAGAAAAGGAATTTCACTTCAATAAGTACCTGACGCGAGCTCGCAGGATCGAAATTGCGTCCGCATTACAACTGAACGAAACCCAAGTGAAAATATGGTTTCAGAATCGACGAATGAAACAAAAAAAGAGAATGAAAGAAGGTCTAATACCCTCAGAACCAATTAATAATGGAAGTGGAAGAAATTCTAGTGGAAATTCGCCGAGCGGAAGTAACGTCAATCACTCCGACAATGCCCATCTTGGTAACAGCGAGAACAGTAATAGCGAATCAAATTGAGATTTTAATCAAACCTGGAAAGCAACATTTTACGTACCTACTTACATTATTTCTATAAATTCTCTTAGTACTTCAGACCTAATTTTGCAATACATAATTGCTTAAATATCATTACGAATAACTGTAGGTACTAATAGCCAAAGTAGCAAATACAGCCAAACTGTTTGAAAATGCGAGAGAATATTCCAATTATTGTTTAATTACGGCTGGTATTTTTTGCATGTGTAATTATTCTTTAACGGATTTCCGGCAAAGATTTATATTGTGTGACATTCAAAATGAATACTGACCCACCAAGGCGTAGAAGGACACAAATTCCGAATTAATTTCAGATTTTTCTTCTTGGACTTGGATCTTCCGATCACGAACTTAGATACTCGATCTGGATTGGATTGCAAATCCCTTTCTATTGAAGTGATCGAATTCACCATTTGAATCCTCAAAAATGAGTTTAATAAGCGATCCCAATCCTAGATATATATATAATTATAACAAAAAATATGAACCAATCATCCTACTACTTAAGCGATGGTCTTATAATGAGATTGCAGGTTGAAATTTCAGACTTAAATTCGGAAATTCGCACTTACTTGTCTTGGATAATTTGAATTGTTACCAGAATTTCGAAAATTAGACCGATATTCTTAAAAAATATTCACGTAGCCCTTCTACGCCTTGGTATTAATCCTTTACCTTTAATTCATGATAAAGTACAAAATTGCTTAATAGTAACTGGTACAAGGAATGAAAAAGAACGAAATAATGGTATAGTAATCGTATCATTAATACATTCTCACCGGCGGTGTAATTAACATTAAGAGTAAGAGATTATGACATTGTAAATGAATCTATTTATTACTAAGTGTACGATATGTATATATTAATGCCATAAATAAACACGAATTAAGTTTCTCAGGGAATAACGTTTTTGTTGGATCATATTTTTAAGAATTTCTAAATCTAGCAGTCCTTAATTTTTACAATACTAGCTACTAATGCATATCACAAAGAAGGAAGTCTTATAGGCGACAAGTGCAGGTATACGCCGCGCCGTGCCCAAGATAAGAATGTCTATCGTGGGAATCTCGGAAACCATAGAAGATATGAGAACGGTCAAATTAGAGAAGAGTTATTATCATGCTCTAAAGAAAAACCGGAAAATTCCGATGACTTCCGAAGATATGCCAAATTTTCTGGAAAATGGAAAATTTACTGAAATAGATTAGTAAATAGTTGGGTTATAAGGTAGTAGCATACTATATTCGATGTTTACTTTCTTTTAGATGACAAAATGCTCTAAAAATGTAAACATAGATGTATACTATATGAAACCAAATTTAAATAGTATATTAAGATACAAGTGTATAATCAAGTCTTTAAAGCACGCGCAACGAGTTTAAGGGCACGACGCAAAGCGGAGTGCCTTTAACGTTGCAAGTGCTTTAAAGACCAATTATACACGTGTATCTATAGTATTTTTTATTATACCTGCAGTATAATTTAAAAATAGGAAATACAATGAAATCATATTGACGTTATACTCGAATACATGTCTAAGTAAGCGGGCTGGATGTTCGTAATTTCACGATTGCCATGGAAATGTCACTTGACGTTTGCTTATAAAAATCATCGTCTTTGTGAATTAAACAATTTCCGTTGAAAAAGATAATACACCGTCCATTAAATTGATTGTTGTAAAATCTAAACAAACGTTTGTAGGTGTCAAATCCAACTCCAGTAAAGCCTATTATAAAGAATATGAAAAGTTGTTTCCATGGATGAATAGGAAGTTACTTACGAATACAGTCTTAAATGCATCCATAATGCTGGCATATATGAAGGAAATGTCAAAGGTATTTAAATCTTCTATATTTTGGTGCATTCATTCAAAACTTTAAAGCAATGCTGCGATTAAAAAGTGGAACAGATTTGGAAGCATACCCTAAATTACGCGCGTTTGTGAAAGCTTCAACCAAAGGATAGGTACAAAAGCCAAAGAAATGTTCTGCATTTACAGAAAGCGACCTAAGAGGATTTTTTATTTCATCCAGATGACAGTTTCAAAAGTCATACTTGAAGTATCGTTACTTAGCAACTTTAAAGCACGTGTGTTTTAAAGGCTCTTTTTCGCACGCATTTGAGTGTTTAAAACGGAGATTGTGATTCAGGTATAAAGGTTCAAAACGATAAACGTTAATGAATAGGAATTTTCAAAAGCTCTAATTTGATATGTGACACACGATATGCTGCTATTTAAAATTTTGAAGTCGAGCGTAGTGGGGAAATTGAAAAATCGTCGTCACATTGGAAGAAAATCATTGGACTTTTCCCGTCGAGATGAAGGTACTAACGACACGCATGGATTGATTGATGGACGGACCAGGAGTGGCCACATCAGTATCTAAGCGCAACTCTGTTGAAAAATGCATTAAAAAAGAACACACATTTGAATAGACAAGTATATCTATAATAAGTACAACATCCCATTGGTTGTTGTACAGTTGCAAGTTTTACGACCATTGGCGTGTATTAGTTAAATTAACTTATGCGCTTGTGCCAATTTACCATCCCTGAGAATCTGAAAGACTTCAAAGGGGAGGTTTCACCGACGACTGCTCTGAAAGTCAAACTGGTGAAAAAAGTATGGCGATGAAATCATTTTTGTGACTGTTAAAGGGTAGAGCTCCGTGTTCTGCTTTCGAAGCTAAGCAGAGAAGATCTTTACAGCTGGTACAACTTGAAGAAGAATGACAAAACAGGCGAGCGTCTTCGCATTATTAAAACAGCTGCAGTGTTCATCTGGAAAAACAGCAGATCACGCATTTATGTGAATAATGCCTGCCATAAAGTAGACAATTTCTTGGGAGATGCAGAAAAGGATATTTACACCGGCCAAGTGCCTTGGACGAAAATTGTTACATCAAAGAAACAACAGAAGACGGAAGTATCGCATCTCAAAACCAAGGTCGTCTCTATTACTCATGCTGTAGTCAATGGAACGAGACGTGGATGTTTTATCTAGTCAATTCTAACTGGGCTTGGAGCAACACTGTACTATAAATAAGGATCAAAGGGCCTTCTTGAGCTGCTTGAGTTGAGTTTCTCATATTATGGTGTCAAAGTGTTTGAATTATCATGAAATGAACAACCACCACAGATACTGAAAGACATATCATTCAACGAATTTGCGGGAGACAACGCAAATGCCAATATGAATACCCTTGACGGCAATAACACCTTCCATGCCATGGAGGGTCTTTAATGTATAACCACTAGAAGCAATCACTGCATCACATGCTATACCATTGCTATACCTTTTCAAAAAAACCAGACAGCAGGGCCTCAAATCCATTGTCATTTATGACAGCTGGAGTGCAACTTTCTCCGAGTGACCTAATATGTATTTATGGAAAATGGAGACAGCGCCTAGACCTGTGATCCCAATTCACCCGTATCTTCAGTAATTGTGCGCCTAGGTTTCCCCCTATTGACCACCATAGCATATATCATGGAAGGTAGCAGGTTTCAAGATGTTCTGAGCACAATATATGCGCGAGCAGCAACAGAGAAAATGCTCACAAGTCATGCAGTCAGGCGACACATCTTGATATACAAGTCGCATTGGCTCACATTGTGTTGTCAAAGATGAATATCTCTGATGATGAAAACGACTATATTTTAGAGGAATCGCATTCTTCAAACAATGGAATGAACAGCTCAAATCATCTTTTCAACATGAGTTAGCGCCACACTCTGTTTCCATTTTCGACGATACAGGGATGCGCAAACCTAAGAAGTCAGTCTTCTATTACTTATTTTCTTCTGTGACCGAATCTCTTGACCTCTCCCAGGGTGCCTTTGTGATTGACGGCGGCTTCCTGTTACACAAGGTACCATGGCGATCAAAGGAAAAGTTCCCAACCATCCTTAATCAATACGTATGAACGGTCACTACAACCTTCAAAGAACATTAGTAATTTTTGATGAGTACCCTGAAGGGGCTAAAGCGAAAAGTTCAAAGCCAGCAGAGTGTCTTTGTCACCAACAGAAATGGTCTGCAGCCACTTTCTATTTACGGAAAACGTGACGTCCACAATGCCGAACGATAGGTTCCTGTCTAACGAGAAGAATAAAGACCGGCTAATATCCATATTAAAGACCAAACTCACATCAGAAGGTTTCACAGCTCGCCAAGCTGTGCAAGATGCGGATACTCTCGTCGCCACGACATATATTTCAAGAGCTAGTGAGTGCCCTACTGTGGCAACAACTGTGGAAGAAGATACAGGCCTGCTCATCCTTCTTACTGCACTGGCTTCCTCCTCATGCAAAAACATTTACTTGCTGAATCCAGGAAAAGGCAATACCTCCAGATGAAGCTTGTTAAAGCCTTAGTAAACAACTCAGAGTTGTAAGATGCGGTTCAAAACTTTCAAAACTCGGATGCGTCCTATGATGCTCACTGCAGGGGAAATCTTTGCTGAAGTGTAAGCTGGCAGGGACAGAGCCTCAACCCTTCATGAGGTGCGATATGAAATGCTTACCGAAACCTTGGCAAATGCAAAAATTAGCCTCTCGCCCCTCCCTTCCACCTCAGAAGCAGGAAACACTCCCTGCGCGCATACCACCAGGTGCAGGAGTGGCGTGGAAGAAAACACGACGCGGCCTGGCATTGTTCCAACCTGTCCCCACCGAGATGCTTTACTCCATCACTTGCTATTGTAGGATGGAGAGCAGGGGACGGTGCACCTGTCGAAAGACAGGATTTAAATGTTTGACAATCTGCCTGAATTGTAAAGGCTAAGCGGGCTCCAATATATTCCTGTTGAGGAAGAAAAATTCACCGCCCCTCATCCATTGTAGGAAGAAAATAAGGACTTCAGCAACAAATTGATGGAGGAGGTGGAAGATGGCCCAGAAAATGATGGTCCATCATTAGGGCTGCAAAAAAATCGATAATTATCAATAATTGGAGTCTATCGATAATTATAGATAGAGCTAGATTATTGATATTTATCGATTATCGATGAGTACCGATAATCGATAACTATATATCGATAATATCTGCGCGGTTCATAGTAATTTTCCTTCGAACATCGGCTATAACTACAGTACAGATAATAAGAAATTATCGATAATCGACAAAGCGATAATCGATAACTTCAATTTCCGATAATATCGATAATCGATTATTATTGAGACGTTAGAACTGCTTACGCAATATTTCATGTGCGACGCTATTCACTACTCTTCTTGTTTGTTTGTTTGTGTTGTTATCTGTTACAGATTAGGCAGAACGCGCCCTTCTTGAGCTCAACAAGGATAACAGGGCCGTTGCGACCTGTATTTCAAAAGGTAATTGTTCTTTATTTTCAAAGACTAACGTTTGATTACAATACTTTAATTTAAATTTAAATGTTGGCATTGCATTTATGTATATTATTAAATCACCATTTATTAAATCGATTGTGACGTCAATTATTTTTTATGTTCTAAGCTTACTATTACTGTATTTTCCTTTTGCTCGTGTTGCTAGTGTACAAGGATCCCGATATTCACCCCGATCCATCTCTACTTTGCCTGAACTTACCGTGTACTTATCTCAAAGAAATGTTGTTACATTTGCCTAAAATGAACGTAAATAGCATAGCAATGTTCTCCACCAGCAACGTTATGAGATATTATTTACCAATTAGCCCATGAAAAAGAGAAAAAGACTGAAAATATGAATTCAAGCTGCCGAATGCGGACCAGACCAGATGTAAATATACAGAAAACTATAGGATGGTGGAAGAAAGCTCGGCTCCATTACATAGGAAATGTGACGCGATATTTTGAATCGATTTCGAAGGTGGGTAACCAATTGGTAAAAATGGTCTCAAATTCCAAATATTTAATTTTGATATTCACATCATAATATATACTGCGATAATTTATGTATACAAATCTACACTTTCACTTAATTATAACCTATCTTTTACGCAATTTAGGGAAAAGAATGGATGATATGCTGAAAAGAATGTTATTAAACTAAATAAGACTGCAAATAGTTCGATAGTCTTCTTCCATTATGTTATTGTACCGCCTCTACTTTAAAGTATGTTCATTGTTCAGGTTCATGCAACAATGGAAGAAACAGACTATTGAGTTTGATTTGACAAATCTCTTTTTTTTATTTAAAACACACGATATAACAAACCAGCGATTACTAATGTGTATGTAACTGTTAAACAATGTAATGAAGAAGCGGCACCCCATTCACATTCAATATCAGTTTTAAGTACTTCGATCAGGCTTTTATTGGCCTTGTTTGCACAATTTGAATTCCTAATGTCATCTTCAATGTGCCTACAATTATATAAATGCGATGCCGGAGATGGGAGTTCATTATAATCATCACAAATGTACTGCCGCCTCTTCCTTTGCCATGCTTCAACCCAACTGCAAACCATCAATAAGATTTCAAATTATTTTGCGATACTCAGACTCACCTCAATCCACAATCGCAGCTCCATTTGTTTCCTTCCATCGAAACGTCCAAAAGAAATATTCTTTGTCTGATTCCAGGTTTGGCTGCGGTGAGAGGATTTCCAAAGTATTGAAGGTTATTGTTTCCTTTGATGCTTAAACTTAAATTTCTTATGAAGTACAAGTCGTCGAACAAATTTTTGGGGACCGTTAGCAATCCGGTGTCGTGCACTGTAAACTGAAATTGCGGATATCTCACACCGTCCAGAACATCGGCGTCTAGGTTCTTCAACGATTTTCCCGAAATTGTCACGCTTCGCAACTTTAACGGCAGTTGTCCCGACATTTCGGATTTTAAATTGGTCTCCCTGTTCACCTCTATTTCTAGGTTGCGCAAAGCATAGTTGCTTTCCAAAACACGAGGTATATTGAAGTACTTCGCGTTATATGCACCAATTTTCAATGTTCTCAAAAAGTGTAACTTGCTTAACGTGCCCACCTAAAATGGCGTTACAAGTGTGTTGCGAAGTAGGTATGCGTTAATTAGTTTACCTCAAATGTGTGTAATGGCAAATCGGTAATATCTAACTCCTCCAAATGGTTGGCGACCCCTAGGAAACTTGTGTTACTTAACACACTTATTGGGTTTCCAGATAGTGAAAGTCGTTCCAAATCCGTTGAAGAGTAAATTGCGACAGGTACTATCGTTAAATTGTTATCAGCAAGATTCAAATCTCGGAGGGACGTTAAATTCCCAGCCATTTCTGTCGGTATCGATGACAATGCGTTCTTAGACAAAGACAAATACACCAAATTCGGTAGGTATAACTCTGGTACCTAAAATAGAAGCGCTCATCTACTACCTACCCTATAAAAATTAGTTAATACTTACCGACATAAGCGATAGATTATCCAATTTTAAATACAGTAGGGTATCCTCGATCCCCTGAAAACTCTTACCATTGTTATCTATAGATAACTGCGAGTTGTGACTCAAATCCAAATACAAGATTTTATGTAAAATTCCGAATACTCCGTCATCTACTTGCACTAACTTATTGTAAGATAAATCCAGAAATGAAAGTCTCTGAAGAAAGATGTATCGTAATAAATGAGATAGCAGATGAGACAAACCTCGAATTTAGACAGCATATCTCCGCTAGTTAACGAAGAAATTCCATTAAATGACAAATCCAATTCACAAAGGGTTGATGCTGCTGCTGTAGATAAACTTGTAAGTGGCAACATGCTTAATTGATTATTTGACAAATCTAGACGTTCCAAGCCTTCCTCTTTAAATAAATTGTCGGGGACAAACCTTAATCTATTGTGTGACAAGTCAACTACCCTTAAGTGATATAATGAGCGGAATAAATCTTTTGGAACTTCGGCGATGTAATTATTTGATAATGTAATAACCTGCAAAAGTTCATGCTTAATGAATTCGTCCTTCCTTCCTTACCTGTAAATTTCTGGTATTTTTGAAGGTATCGTATTCGAATTCCAACAATTTGTTAAATGATAAATCGATGCATTGCAAATGCGGCATGTTCCCGAATATTTCCCGGCTTATATTTAAAATGAGATTGTGACTGAAGTACAAGTGCGTTAATGAAATTTCCACTGGGTCAAAATAGTGTTTACTTATTTGGGAAATATTATTGTAAGAGAAGTCTAGTATTTTAATATTTGAATGAAATGTTTCAAAACCTGAAAAACAATTGTTGTACATTTTCGTTTAAGTACTTAAAAGAAAGCGAATTATGATTAAACAAGCTTTTCATCACGTATATCAATGATGTATGAGCTTTGGATTCGAATTCGGATTCAATCGACCAGCTAAGTTATATCAAATTTCGATTTTATTAAAAACCAGGTGCCAAATTCTTGAGTTTTCTGGCTCAAACCGAAAAGAGCTACTTTTGTTTCTGTTTATGACTAGTAATTCATTTATTGTCTAAACTCAAGCAACGCTACCTGGAGGAGAACCATTTGAAACCCCCGATCGTTAATAAAAAATGTAGGTTTACTTTTTGAAAAAAAAGTTCTATAACGCCACGGCGCTCAAAACCCATATATTCATAGTATATTATATACCGAGGGACTAAAGTGTGTGTTTTAATCCCGAGGGGGCAGATTGTTGCCCGAAATGTAGTTGAGGGCAACAAGCACCTGAGGGATTTAGGACGCACTTTAGTCCTGTGGTCCTACGCTATTTTTTGTAGTCCGGTAATCAGATACAGCAATTTCAATGATAAAGTTCAAATTTGAAATAAGAAAGTTATTTATTATACAAGGGAAAAAAGTATTAGATTTTAGCTCGAGCTTATTAACGTCATTAGGCCGACTTTTGACATTTGCAAATAATCGCTAAAATATATGGAGAGTAACCATAGCAATTCGAATAATTATTTTACTATAATATGAAGGAAATAATCTAAGTATTGAATTCTATTGCGTAGTGAACTTTTGATGTCTTTGGGAAATCTGAGTGTGTAGGTAGTCAAAGAATAGGCTAAATCTAGTGTAAATCAAATCTACTCTTAAACAAATATATAATTTGCTTAATTATGACACGTCATCTTGGCGGTAATAATAATTAATTTAAAATAGAATAGGTAGGGATTAATTCTGAAGAAGTTCTTTGAAGGCATTACAGATCAAGTCGCGATAGAGCTCGTGAGTTAAGAACTCAGATCGAGATCGAGTTATTTTTTTTCCAAATTATTCGGATTCGCCAGAGCTGTTTTTTAGGGCATTATAGAAATTTCAAGTTATAACTACGAATAAAAATACTAGAAAATTCGGTAAAAATCAAGTTTTATGTCTGGTATAGGTTTAGAACTTAAATCGTTGCGCGATTATTGCGCCTTTAACCGTGGAAAAGCTAACTCCTCTAATTAATTAAACGTGTTTGTTTTGAAAATTTGGAAATTACAACCAAAAAGAGATAATTGTGTAGTTAGAAAAAATAAAAACTGCAACGCGCAGTAAACGTATTCCGTCGCACAAAACACAACTTGACGCGGTCAAGGACAAATCAATTAAACGTGCCGGTACAGTATTTTTCCTTACAAAGTACTATTACATATTAACTTTTGAGATCAAGTTTATTTCGAAGTGAGCGAAAAAAAAGGGACTGATTTGGCTGTTAAAATTCGGAATAGTTAAATTGTTCTAAACGTTCGAATCCGAAAAAAATTAATAAAAAAAATAGGCGGTATAAATTTAATTCAGTGAATGGTTCTTCTTTGGTTTGCATAGAAATCGTTAAAAACTATTTAAAAAAGGCTTCTCGTAACAAACTGTCGTGGTTATAAAATCTTGCATATCTGCAATCTATACGCATTAGAGTTTAAAATCCGAAAATATTCGCCCAGAGAGCAACGATTCCCTGGACAAGACATAGAAGTAGAGGTATCCGTGGCGAATGAACCAATCTACAAGTTTTATTGCTAAATTCCGAAATACTTTACCTATAAGGGTCCCAAGACTACTTTATATGAACATCGTCATCTGCAGAACATTTTTTATGATGTAACTGTTATTCCATTTATGTATAATTAATAATTATTTACATATGAGTATGGTAAATCGAGGTTTACATTAACGAATGAATCTCGTAAACCGCCGATTATTGAATAATATGAAATAAAAGTTATATAAAAACTTTCGTAAATTATACAGTGTGTCCCTGGATTGACTTCACTATACCTACATGTAATTGATTAAAAATTTTTGAATCCGTTTTGATGTTTTGGGATCTCGGCTTGATTGGTCTGAAAAGAATTTCAAGCACATTTTTCCTTTTTAATATTCAAGATGGCCGTGAAAATGAGAAAAAAATTTGTTGAGGTAAAGTGCCTCTCGGTCAATGATACGGCATATTATCTACCAAGGTAGAGAAGTTCACAATTTTAAGTGTGGAAATGAAAGAAGTTGCAATGATTCATTTTAGAGAACCTGTCTGAACGAAATTTCGGGCGTGAAATTTGTGATCTCTGAAACTGACAGCGTGACAGTTCTCATTATTGACTAATGACTATACTAGTTAATAATGACCTCATTATACTCATGACCACTTTCAAAAGCTGCCGAGAATAAAAGTTAATATTCACGTCATCATACATTAGACTAGTAGTGAAACAAATTATTTTTTCTAAATTGCCACGGCCATCTTGAATTTTCAAAATTAAAAAGTTCTTGAAATACTTTTCCAACCAAGCAGGCCGGGGTCCCAAAGCATCAAAACGAGTTGTAACGGTTGGCAGAGTTTCCTCAAACCCGCCGCATAAACGGCCAACTTGCTCAGAGTTGGAAAATAAAAATACAACCTTGAGATCTGTCACAGCGGTAGTTCTTTCTGATCATATGATCTTCTTAACTTCGTTACACTTACCAATGGGGTTGAGCGCCACTCAATTTTTATTTTAACTCTCCCCGTATGAAAGTGAGAACGTACATACATACATACGAGGGTACCTAGTAATAACAGTAGAAATCAGTTTAGGTAGCAAAAGAAATACGGGATAATTCAAACACTAAATATTACAATAAAAACTGTCGTAACGGTGTATTTAACGCAAGGTTACAAACTTGTAGGTCCAACAAAAATCCTAGGTACAGTAAAACGTATCCGGAACTAAAGTTGGTCCTTAACGTTGATTTCGACTTGAATTTGAATTGGTACTTAAAACCCTTTTAAATAAGAGGGCTAGATGACGCAACAATTGTCGATTGAAATTGTAGTGCAACAAATGATAAGAAAGGAAGAACGCAAATTAAATCCTCAAGAGGATAATATAGGGGAAATCGGTCCAACAATACTTCGGAATCCCCAAATTATGAACCCTATCGCCAGAGATCAATATCTATAGATGATGGCAATTAAAATCCATGCGTTCTAACTCCCGCTTTCGGCTGTTTGTTTAAACGAAGTGTACTTTGTTACGGCGTATGAAGGAAAGAAAGATGAAAATCGACACGCACTAATCAAAGCGCTGGTTGTATGCGCGGCAAAATTTCGTTGTCCAATTCCAACAATAGATGGAGGCATCTATCAAATTGCTTTGAACGTTACTAGGATCAACAAGTAAATTTTTGATCAATTACTGTACAGTGAAGTAAATCTGGGGACAGATTGTATTTGATTGAAACTTACAACCTCCAAAAAAATTTAACACAACATCGTCATCATAGCGCATTTTTTATTTTTGAAAGCTAAGGGCCCCGCGCACTAGCGGCCACGGCCAAGTCGCGCCACCGAAAGTTCAAGGCGATCAATCGAACGCAGACGTCAAGCCTCTTATATAAAAAGTAGTCAGTCAGTGCAGTTGTGAATTGAATGCCGAGCAAGCATTTGCTATCTGCTACCTTGCATGGGATAAAAAGAAAAACCCAAAAAAGGTACTTTGTGTATCCCTGGTAGCGTCTTTTGTACGAAAACCTTGTTGATCTTCCGTATTGACAAACGTGCGTCACATGTACTAAAAACAAGAGTGATTTGGACTACTGGACTGCCTGGTAAACTAGTCGACTGCTAGTGCGCGCTCATTCAGCTCATATATTAGGGATGTAACGGAAGTGGTTATATCGGAACCGAATTCGGGGCCGTACCGGATCGCGCCACTTGGCCGCTAGTGCGCGGGAGGCCTTACATTTCACTTTTAAAATTAAAACGATTACTCATAAAATACATACATTGACGACTAAGAAGCAAGCTTGGTGAATCATATTGAAGTATAAATGGTCTTCTCAACACAAATGACTTTAAACTTACAAAACTTACCACCTTCTGATAGTATATCATAATTAACGGCCGGACTCAGGTCTGATATCCTATTATGACTAACATTCACACGGAAAGTTGCCAATGTTCCAACTTGATCCAAGACAGAAAACTGAAAATCGTTCAAAGCGTTGTAGGATAAATCCAAGTCTTCTAATTCGGGAAGATTTTCAAACGTGGCCTGTGTTAACTGTGTTATTCTGTTCCCTTTTAAGTGTAACCTTTTCAAATTTTCCAAATCTTTAAATGCACGTCGATCTAAATTCATTATTTTGTTATCGTCCAGATACAATTGTTCCAACATTTCCAGGGCGGAAAAGGTATTTTCTTGAATTGATGTGATTTTGTTAAAAGATAGGTAGACTATTTCCAATTTCGAATGTACATCGCCCTAAAAATTAAAGCAAAAGTAAGATTAGGTACAAAACAATGATTTAAATAGCTTATGTTTCTATTGCTAAATACAAGAGGAATTGAGAATATTAAAAAAAATTGTTAAGGATTGTGAACACCATAATATGGATTTAAAAACCGGTTGAATAGTAATTCACCTGGAAGGTTTCCGGATGTATCGCATCGATTTCGTTGTCTTGAAGTTCCACAATTTTTAACTTTTTAAGCAAACTAAAGGTACTGTCTGGCACATTTCTAATTTTGTTATTACTACAATCTAAGTGCCGTAAATTCCATAGAAGTTTTATAGGTTCCGGAGGTAATGTACCCATTTTTGATGAAAAAGCATGCGACAGTTGAAGAATTGTCAAAGAGTGTCCAAGCTAAAAAACAGAAAATTACACTGAACATGACACCTGCGAGCACTCTTACATTTACAAAAGCGTCATTCTCAATTTGTTCAATTCTATTTTCTGCCAAATCTAACACCTTTAAACTGTGAACATTTTTAAATGCGTGATTCTTTATCGATTTAAGCTCGGCAAAATTTATATGCAGCTCTTCTAAGTTGGCACCAAACTCCGCAAAATCCTCCGTTGTCAAAGATGTTTGACGAAGACGACTCAAATACGCTTTTCTCAAACTTTTGAACCTGAAAGCACAAGGTTAAGAAACTCACAATTCTGTTAGTAACTGGTTAGTACTGTTTTAATTTCTGCAGAGAGATGATGTAGTTATTCATGCCACTCAAATCTAAACTAATCAAGTTGTTTTGCCACCCGTTTGGTATTTCATTCGATTCAAACGAAGTTAACAAGTTATCTCCCATAGAAAATGATTGCAACATGAAAAAATTGTCGAGAAAGTCATTGTGAAGAAATGTTAGATTATTTCCAGATAAGTCTAATACTTGTAAAGAACCTTCCAAACCGCTAAATGCTGTTGGAGTTATCACACTTAAACCACAAGCTCGAATGTACAGTTCCTTAATTTTTGCTTGTCGAAAGGCATCATCCTGAAATGAAGGTTAAAATGCACCTACGTCTGAAGCCAAAAATGTCACCTCAATTGTCGAAAGGGGATTTCCATCCAAATACGTCACATTAATACTGTTGAAATACTGAAACGAACTAGATTCCAGTACACTTAACTGGTTGTAGGCCAAGTTAAGCTCGTCTAGTGACATTCTAACATCAATTTGAATAGTAATAGCACCCGATTCCATCGTTGGAAACATTCTAGTAATTCTATTATAGCTTAAATCCAACGTTTTAAGCATCGTCAATGGAGACAAAGCTAAATATGGTATAGAGCTGAGTAGGTTATCCGCAAGGATTACGTGGGCAAGTTTATTCATGCCTTCTCGAAATACCGAAGGATCGATGTCTCTCAAATTATTACCATGTAGATCAATTTTGTCCAAATATGGTAATCCTGTAAACGCATCTGGAGCTAAGTACGCAATGGAGTTTTCCGCCAATATCAATGTCTCCATAGAATGTTCCAAACCTTTCCAACTGTCTGGATAGATGCGGGTAATATCATTATCTGAAATAAATTTCATTAAATTTTTTCAAAATGATCAAGTTATTTGTTACTGGTTAGATCAAGTAATTTAAGCTTGTGTAGGTACCGAATTGCCCTACTCGGTACGTGCAATAAATCGTTGTGACTCAAGTCAAGTTTCCACAGTGTTCTCTCTAATCCAACGAAAGCATCGTCATGAATTGTAGGCAGTGGATTGTGTGTAATCGAAAGTTTGTATAATCCTGCAACGTTTATTGAATCGTAGCCAAATGAATATGTCATATGTACCTGTGCTTTGAACAAAATACGGTTCAAGCCTTCTTAAACCGACATTGTCCAACTGCAACATGAATACCTTTGAGGCATTAATTGCTTGAGGTACCATAGATAGAGACGTATCTCGACATCTCACAATGCCAAGATCTGGAACAGCCTTTGAACAGCTACACAAAGGATTGAAGTAACATGGTGGATCTCTTGCTGAAACTGTTTCCCTTGCTGCACAGAAGCTAGCGCTTAAAAATGTGTAAATAGTAATTGCGCTAAATAACCACGTCAGTCTGTCCAATTCCTGCAAAAAAGCGCGCATACAAAATTTTGGACCAGCACAGATTGATCAATGCAGAAAAGGACACCTTTTCTTGGTGATTTGCAGATCCTATTTTCCAACCACTTAAATTTTGAAAGATTTAAATATCTTTGAAGGATCTAAAGGATTGATTATTGAAAATAGAATATAGCTGGATTAATTTGATTTATATTTTTAATAAAGTCCTACCTCTGTGATTCCTACAACAAGCAGTTTTTATTGTTAAGTCTTAATAATAAATTTTACTTAATGCTTTATTATGATTATTACTATTATCTTTGTTTATTCAATAAACAATGCTGTTATGAAAAACAGAAAACATTTTAATTTTATGCCATCATTATACTTCTTGTATGAGTATGTCAATTGAAATGTCTATACTTCCACCTTAACTTATAGTGCGGTATTTGTAATGAAAATGTGAGTAATTTTATAGTGATTTAACTTTTAAGCAAAAGGAAAATTGATATTTGTTATCGCGACTCCGTTTGTCGGCTGCGTTGGGAAAGCGTAGGTTGAGGAAGATAGAAGTGAGCCGTCAATTTTGCGTTGGTTCCGTCTACATTATTGAATAAGTAACTTATTCAATGTCTGCATCGAGTACCGCAATGAAAATAGTTAAGAATAGGGGGCCCGTGCTTGGTGGAAACTAGGCGCGAGTCGTAAACGGTTAGCGTGTAGAGATTGTGTAAACACGCGGAGTTTCGATTCGGAGTTATAAATTATCGTGGCGACCAGAACAAAGAAATTGATCGTTTATCAAAATTGCACGCTAAGTTTGTGGAGAAGAATCGACAGTTTTAATCGCGGAAGTAGTAAGCACCTACTTATCTGTGTTTAATGGAAATCCAAAAAATAACTCGTGTAGGTACGTCAATTGTATTTATTGCGGTGCACGCTAATTATTCGGAGTGCATCTCTTTCGTATCTGGAGATCTTCAAACAATAACTTATGGTAAATTGAATTCTTTGGTAATTGTAAGAACAATACACTCAAAGAAAGTTTGAGGCGGTTTCTGTACAAACGAATTAATGTAGACAGTTACAGAATTAAAAGCATAAAATAATATCGTTAGTAAAATCGCGACAACCCACCCTAAACAGCGCGTAGGTATATTAAATTATAAATATAAACGTTCATCGACATCATCACCAGCATAAACTTGTCTATTAACATCTTTGATCTGGTGGAATGCCGAGACAGTGTAAATCTACTTAATCTGAGACGAACTGCACATTAATTTGTCAACATACCTAATTATGTCGAGGTTTTTCCATTTTTTGTAAAGCAAGAAACTACATATACCAAAGAGCGCAGACCTTGCCCTAAAGGAATTTTCCGCTACAAGGGATTCTCGGGAGATCTACACCACATCCAAATAATAGGAACGAAAAAGTATTGTAATTTTTGTATCTTGTTTGTAACCCAAAAAATCGTAAAATATTACGTGATGTGTAAAAATTTCAAGTAACAAATTAAGTTGTTTTTTTTTAGTTTATGTATATTTTAATAGACTTTAACCGTAGAAGGTTTATTATTATTTTTTGAATGAGTTGAATTACTTATTATTGTCATTTTAGATTATTGGTTTATCAAAAAAATATTGGGTGGTAGAGAAAGTCAAAACAAGAACTTTAGTTTTTTCACGAACGAATACATGTAGATTGGTAATAACGGCGTTGCCGAAGTTTTGAATAAGCTCCTCCTATTTTGCAAAAATTTTGACAATTTTGACATGTAGATTGGTAATAACGGCGTTGCCGAAGTGTTTGAATAAGCTCCTCCTATTTTGCAAAAATTTTGACAATTTTGACATGTAGATTGGTAATAACGGCGTTGCCGAAGTGTTTGAATAAGCTCCTCCTATTTTGCAAAAATTTTGACAATTTTGACATGTAGATTGGTAATAACGGCGTTGCCGAAGTGTTTGAATAAGCTCCTCCTATTTTGCAAAAATGTTGACAAAATTGCAACCCCAATATGGAGGATCGCTGAACTAAAAATGTTATATCAGGAGATCTTTGATCATGAAACTAAGACCTCCAAATGTCCAAAGGAAATTATCAAAAACAATTTCATTTACTTCCCTTCAATATTTAATGCACTCCTCGTTATTTTAAAAAAATCTCCGTAGACATCTGTTCGGTTCGCACTTGCAAATTGCAATAATTCGTAGGCAAGGCAAACACATATGTTCGGATAGGTCATTGAGTTAGGGATAGGCGCTTCTGGTGTCAAATGATTTCTTTTCAAGGATTCATATGCAAAATTTTTTCGAAAGTTGGTTCTAAATGCATATTCATCGTATTCAGACTAAACTAGTTTACCCCTCATATGCAAAAAAATCTACCCATGGATCTCATGCACATGATAACCATAAATGTGATAAACGTCATCGTACCTAAGCGATTTACAAAAATGGCATTTTCACATTATAACCGTATTTTTTCCGAAAAAATTACTTCAACCAAATTCTTTTTCGGCCATTTGACCAAAACAATGGGAAGCCGTTATTTGAGAAGCACCCTCCGTTAACATATACCTATATGGAAAAAACCGCCTGCAACAAAGAACGTTGGTTTTGCGCATACACAATGCAATGTGTGTCTTCAATTCGGTTATATAAGAAGCATTTTCAGTTCAATTTCACACAAGTGATCAGCAAGTTATGTCTGCGCATGCGAATTCCATTTTTAGCACGGGATTTCTATAGGCAACTCCTTCCACTAAAATTTCACAAATATACCCAATTTCAATCTGCACATTCGTAATACAAACATACGTAAAGCAACCATTAAATATCAAGTAAAGAAGTGTGTATCGAAGCAACTGAAGGTAGAAACAGAAATTACGGAAGCGCAAGAGGTAAAAATTTGCAGACAAAGTTGACTTAGAAGAATATGAGAAGAAAAAAAAAGAATAGGAAACGAACTATATGGTGGAATGGGAAGGACACAGGTAAAAATTAAGAAAGAAAATTGGCAAATGTATCTAAGCAAAAAAAACGAACAATAATAGGTACCAAGAATACAAGCAACAAAAGGTACGTGTTAAAGGTGTAGTAAATCAGGAAAAGAAACAAACATAGATACACAAAGGGAAAAACCGGAATACGGAAATCGAAATCGAAATACCAAAATAGACCACCAACATCAGACGGTAAAGTGGAAACAATACTTCGAGAAACTTCTTAATAGGAGTGGACAACAAAAGTTGAAGAGAAGAAAATGAAGCATTGCAGAGGAGGAAAGCGAGACTAATGAAGACCATCAAAATAGAAGAGAGGAAAGCAACAAGAAAACACGGAAAGTGCTAATAAAAGAAATATTGCATTTTCCCTTTGTAGATATCTTCTTCCAATATTACATTAGATTTTTACATCGCTCGACTAGACGTAGACGATCTTTCCACCATTTCAGAGCACTCTCCTCCGACACTCCCTTCTACAGATATTTGTACTGAAACTTTTACCATCACCAGTACATATGTCTTGCCCTTTGGACACTTCGTTTTGAAGATATTCGCCTCGACAGTACAAATTAATTCATTTCGTCGATGCCTTTCATTAAAGTACCACGAAGGATAACAGCGCCCCCCTCCGCCAAACCCCCTATTACCCTCTATGACGAGTCAGAAAGAACGGCGGTAGTTGGTTTTGTTTATTTTGACCGTCTGTGGCGCTCCTTCAAGGTAGGCTACTTATTGCAAAAAATTCCAGGACCCTAGAACGATTCCCCTAAAAGTGTTAGTTCAAAAGTGACAACACGTCACAGTAATGCACATGTAGAGTTAAAGTGTCACTGACGTAAAATCCTCATATGTACTGAAAAATGTTAATTATACTCGTATTATCTCATCATCCACCGAACATCAATAACGTAAATAGTAAGGTATACTACTAAGGGTTATAATTTAGTATGTGATCAAAATTTGGTAATTTTAAAATTAATCATGCCACAGCACAAAAATTTTGGTTTTAATGTTTCACTGTAGTATGCTACACTCGAGGCTACACTCTAAAACGAAAACTTGGAATCGTGAATCAAGGGTGGTTAACAAATGTCAAGTGAATGGTAACACGTAACTGCATTATACAAAACTATATAGACTACATTGCTTTACTTGGATAACTACCTAAATAAGTACCTACTTGAAAAAGTATAGCGCATTGATCGTTTTATCTTCATATACTCATTGCTTACCATTTTCTCTCAAATTAACTTCACTATTTCCAAAGCTATTCTTATCATCTTAAGTACACCTCAAAGAATTAGGGCTCCAAAGGTCCACACAGGCACACAACTGAGCACAAAACCAAAATAAGACGTACAAGTTGCAAAGCTTCGTCAGACTCGCCTCGCAAAACCTTAATAATGTAAAAGAAGTTGGCTTCCTTTAATAAGATTATTTTGTAATACCATAATGCTTCCACTGTTTTCCTGAATGTAAAAAAATGAGGCGATAAAACACATGAATAAACTAGATTTTTGGCAACTTGTATAGGAAAATTTAATACTTAAGAATGAATTAATGCAAAATTTGTCATCTGCCTAATAACTATAAGTGGGAGAATTTAATTTTTAACTAGGTAGGCACACGTTAGTCTAATTACACTTGGCATTCTGACCGAGACCTAATTAATAACGAATGTTTGTTAGTGCTGTCGTTTTTTTCCGAAAGTTAATATTTGTGGAATACTCTTTGTAGAGCCAACCCCCATAATACATTTCGCTTCAATGCGAATCGCATTAGATATCTAAAAATTGTTTCAAGGTTTTACTAACTTTCACCCATTTTATTGATTTTATAATCCATTTTACTCTTGGTCACCTAATAAAGTTTCCTAATTTATAGCAATTATTACTAGGAACCGACTAATAATTGCTCGTATTATCAAATTACATTACTACTCTTCCCATGCAAATACAATACACCTACCTAGGCTGTTTCACGTAAACCGTTACCTAAAATTTTCAGACTCCCATTAATATTTTAAATCTAAAAATAGTGTTTCATGATCTATCGAAAGAAAATATTAACATGATCGTTTCACTTCCGGTTTTACCAGATGTGGATAGCAATTTTCTTATTTTATTTTAAATAGAACATCCTATATTTAATTGCATTTTCGAAATATAAGTACTCGTACATGAAAATCTACGTCGTTTGACACCGCATTTCCCTATACCCAGCATCAAAGGTTTCCAAGATTCAAGATTTAATTCTTTAAAACGGTGGTAAGTTTATAAATGTCGTAACTTCTATTTATATTGTAGGTTATGTTTACCGAGTTTTGACCAAGTAAGTATAAAAGCATTATTTGTGTGTTAACCCGGGTCGGTGTCTACGTATGTAAATATATATCGTACACCGATCTCAAATCGCCGTTTCCTACACTTTTTGTATATGTGTCATCAAATCGTTTTAACTCATAAATTACAGTATCTTTATAATAAAATTACTTTCCGTACCGACGTACACCATCTCAATTTACGTAACAAAGGACTTATGACTATTCCAGCTCATAGGTATCATCTTTTCAAAGGGTGTTTTTCTTATCAAATTGCAATACACAACTCGTTGCCAACTTTTATCAAAAATCTTTCCTTGAAGTTGAAGCCTTTTAAAACACAAACGCGACTTTTACTTTATAGAAGTCAAATCCAATGTTAACAAGTGCTATTAACTCTTTAAGTTTTTTTTATTGTGTTTTTTCTACATTGTTATAGTTTCATTTTCACATTTCTTTAACAAACGCAGGTATACCGTTTTATTTAAGAGAAACATCACTCATTTCGCCATAAAAAATGAAGTGTACCTATATTGGGCTAAAGTGGACGAGCAGACCAATTAGTCTGAACTTCACCCTTTCACTATTATATATCTGATATATCGGTATGCCTATTTTTCATTTTTGTGTTGTTACTTTTGTATATAATATGGGAATAAAGGTCATTATTACTATTAATACAATTTTTGTTTTTAAAAGCTATGGATGCAAACATCTCCCAATACAGTTTCCAAAAAAGTAATATGTACCTACCTAAATGGCTCAAAAAAGCAAAGGAAAGGAAGTGAATTTTTTGTTATCTACTTAGGTGGACGTCCATTGTACAAATTCTGTGTATACGCGTACGTACTATGTTATAGTACAGAAGGTCCATATATGTACATACCGTTGACGTTTAATGTACGTTGGTGTGTTGTGTGAGAATTGAAGTTGAACGAGCAACGCCACGAAATAAAGAATGATTCGGTCAGTTTTACCGTTCTGGACCACCACCACCACCAAACATTATGGCGGTGACCTAGTTGCGGGTGTACCTGGACGTTTAGGTTTAGTTAAGTGTTTACAGTTAAATGGAGAAAAAAGAGGAAATATTGAACTTTGCTTTTTCCGGATACTTTCTAGACGGACTATAGGTAGTTCAAAACCGCAGAGGTGGGTCGGTACGGATGGACAGACGGACGGACGAACGGACAAAACGCAAACAATAGCACTTTTTTTTAAATTCTTAAAAAGTGCCCTAAAAATTTAAAATTATTAAGCGTCTGGTAATGGTCTGGTATTAATTCTTTCAACACTTCTTCGCTACCTACTAGAAATCAATGTCAAATTGTCAACACTGGGGCGGCATACAATCATTAATCGCTGTGTAAAAAGAACCCACGATTTCAATGCGATTTATCACAAGCGATACATTCAACGATATAAACGTTGCATGAAGGAATCGAGATAGAGGCGCAATGCCTACAGGTACATGAAATCGTCGCGAATGTAGGATCTGATATTTACACAGCGCTTATGGAATCTCAGATCCAGATGGCTAGTTTCTACTCGACGTTCCAGTACGTTGGATAGAGAAGAGATAAAAGTGACTACGATCGGTCTTATGGAGGTTATATTATCTACTGATTTCTCCACTATCCACTCAACGGTATAAATTGCTTTGACATGTTTCCCATAAGAAAGCTAGGTAACACACAATACTTCTGTTCGCACATTTTTGTTTTTCAAATACAATGCTTATGGCTGGGATTGCCTGAAAAGAGAAGTACCCATAGTAAAGGACAAAGTTTTTTTCGTTAGACTGTGCTAGTACCTAATAATGAGTAGCGTAACTACAGCAGTTTTCTATACAAATATTTAAATCATTATCCTCTCTTTAAGTGGGCCCCAAACAACACAGAGGGAGCAATTTGCTTTGCATAACCACACGACAAGAAGATACAAAACACAAACGCAAGGTCGTTCACGGCTCCTTACAGACTGCGAAACTGCAAAATTATAATTAGCACATAACTTGAGGAGAATAATGAACCGCTTGTAACGTATGAAGTAAAAATCGAGTAATTATTGGCATGGGGGACTTTTTGTTTGGAAGGGCCGTCAGTAAAACTCTCAGTTCCTTCACTTAACGGTATAACGCCGACATTTCTAAGAAAACACCTTTGGAAATTCAATTCTTTTTCATTGTTTCATTGTTACCATTGAATAGAGGTGTGTTTGTTATACCTACTTATAAAGTTATAAGGATCCTAGTGCCTATTCAAATAACAGGTAACGCAGACTTTGTACCTAACGAAATGTTATTACAGTAGAGACGCGTTTTGACTTTTAGGACTTGGAAAAAGTTCAACCATATTTTCGTTTTTTTTTTGTATTTTTCTCTGAAACGGTAGGGAAATTTCGAATTAGAACAAGCAAAAGCTTTTAAGGAGAATGCATTTTTGTCAAAAAGTATAGTAAAAGTTTTTCTTCTTGTAAAGTCAATCCAGGGACATACGGTGTACCGATTTTTTTTTAATTTTTTAGCCGTTTATACCTAAATATACATTTGTATCTCTCTTCCCCATGTCTTAAATTCGAGGTATGGTCTTTTGTAAATTAGTAATATACAGGCCGATTCAAATTCGAGGGCCACCATGGGCATCTCCGATCTCGGGAACTGTAAGAGATAGGATAGGTAGGTAGTTTAAATTTGGCAAAGTTGTGTATTTTGATGCTTAACAAAATGCAGTTTTGAAACTGAAAATTCTGACTACTTTCGGAGATATCCGGAAAGAAACGAAATTTTGAAAATCGTTTTTGTTTTTACTTAAGTTATTTACAAAGATATTTACCACTTTTGGCCACTTTTTTCCCTCTACAGGATGCTAGTTTAAAATTTTAAATCCGACATTTCGTCTCCGGTTAACTATCATCAACTTTGTTTTTTCTTATGGAAGTAATTTTTACTTTTTGTGTCTTAAGTAACGTACGTATTTCTTGCGTTTTTACGAATTAATAGCGTTATTTCTTATTAAAAATAGATGTTTTATATTTTTGAAATCAGAAAAAAATTCTTTATCAAATGACACAAAAATTCAAAATTGCTTCCATAAGAAAAAACAAAGATGGTTGACTGGAGACGAAACGTCAAACTTAAGTAGCATCTTGTAAGTTGTAGAGGGAAAAAAGTGGTCATAATAATGTGTCATTTATTTTGAAATATCTTTTTTAATAACTTCAGTAAAAAATAAAAACGATTTTGCAAAATTTCGTTTTTCTCCGAAAGTAGTCGGAATTTTTTCAGTTTCAAAACTGCATTTTGTTAAGCATCAAAAATACGCAACTTTGTCAAATGTAAACTACCTACCTATCTATAACAGTTCCCAAGATCACCTTGGTTATTACACATTACGCTAAACCACAGACAACATACAGGGTGATTCCTATAGTACCTGCCACCGTTTGGGAGCGTATAGGGGGTGCCTAGGGGAGTATTTTGATATAGGACACTTGGGGTCGGAAATCTAAAATAAGGGCGCCAGAACCAAATTTATCTTCTGGAATTTCACGCCTGTATGTAGGGAACCCAACCGACCGACGTTTCGCGCGGAGCGATGCAGAGCGAGTTAGCGCGAGGAAGCGACATGGGAGGGAAGGAGGGAAAACGACAGTCAAAAGCAATAACGTTTACAAGTGTTCAACGTGGCCACCGTTGTTCTCAATGCACTTCCTACATCTAGCCAACTATTATTATACTATTGCCATAGTGTTTATTCACTTGATACGCGTCGTTGCAGACGGGATTTCGTGGGTTTAAACAAAATTCTGATCAAGTGTCAGCCACACATCGCCGCCTGAGATCGCTCCGTGTGCACCGCCGGCCGGTTGGGTTGCCTACCTACAGGCGCGAAATTCCAGAAGGTAAATTTGGCTCTGGCCCCCTTATTTTAGATTTCCGACCCCAAGTGTCCTATATCAAAATACTCCCCTACGCACCACCTACACGCTCCCAAACGGTGGCAGGTACTATAGGAATCACCCTGTATGTTGTCTGTGGCTAAACTAATACTAATATATAATAGGTACTATCATTGAATAAAGA